TCTATGAACCTCAAAAGAATCTTTGAAAGTCCTTTAGATGGAGTAGCATGACATGCAGTGACAAAAGGACACGTATAATGTGTGAGAAAGCACATTCACTGCAACCAATATTTTTTTTAGTAACACTGAAAATAAGCTACACAGGTGATGAAGCATGGCATTTATTTTTCCTAGCTGACTTGTTTGGTGAGTCATGACATGTTTATAAGATTCAGGAATTCTAATGAAGACTGGATGACAATTGATCTATATTTCATTCACAACCTGTTTCTGCATTCCAATTTATGTGGAACTTGTCTGGGTATCTATTTTTGACACCCAGATTTCACTTCCACTTAACCAGATTCATCAACTAGGAAAGCCAGGGTGATGGAGGAAACAGTGTGAGATGGGCAGGCTGACCTGGGGTCAGATCATCTGGTCATCAGTGTGCTTCTGAGCAAGCCCTTTATGGTCTCTGTGCCTCAGTTTCCCCATCGGGGAGAGTTGGAGCTGATGACCTCTAGGATTTTTTCTTTTTTTGCTCAGATATTCCATAAAAGGGTGTTCTAGCATTCAGCACCGGCCTGATCCCATTATTCCATTCATCAGGAAGCTAGAGTGGCACCTGAAGTTTACCAATACCAGTTGCCGTTGAGTTGATCCAACTACTGGCATCTCCATGTGTGTCAGAACTGTGCTCCATAGGGTTTTCAATGGCTGATTTTTTAGAAGTAGATCACTAGGGCTTCCTTCTGAGGAGCCCCTAGGTAGAGTCAAACCTTTAAACTTTTGGTTAGCATCCAAGTGCATTAACCATATGCATCACCCAGAGACTCTGCCTGAAGTAAAGAATCCTCAAATATAATGTTTTTAACTCTTGAAATGTTATCAAAATGGCCCTGGATCAACTAACAAATTGCTGTCTATGAACCAGTTTGCCCTGTATTAATCATTTCATAAATTGGCACTGTTTCTTTCCATTTTACAATTTTCAAAGCACATTCACAGGCATGATCAGTCTGACCCCAACAACAGCTCTGTAAAGTAGAGAAGATGCTTTATCCCCATTTAATAAGAAGGAAGCAGATATTCAGAGAGTTAAGTGATTCACTCAAGGCCCCATGATGAAGCAATGACAGAGGCACACCTAGGATGCCGGTCTTCAGACATCCCAACCTACACTCCTAAAAATCCCTTGAAGAACGGATCTTCACTGTTGTGAATTAAAAATTCCTCGACACCTGTACGAATGCGACGGGTGGTGTTGCCGACGTCCTGCTTGGCTTGCCAGCAGCTCTTCTTCCACCAGCAGAGTCCCTGCTCCCCTACCTGGTCCCACCACTCTCCCACCATTGCAGCTGTTGAGTGTGGGGAGGGGATGGTCCTGGTACTGGAGGTGGGCTCTGCATATGATAGCCCCAGAGGAGGAAGCACATGGAAGTAGAGACAGCACAGCCAGGAAGCTGCATGCAACATGGTGACTGTGGGTCCCATGCATGACCCTACGGGCAGTCTTCAGGATTCACCCCGCAGCAAGCCAGCTGCCTCCACCAGTCTTCTTCCCTGCACTAGATGCTCCGTCCATCTCAGCCCTTCACTTCTAGAAGGGGTCCATGCTTCTGCTGTCACCACTGCCTATGCCTGATTAGGAGCACCCTCACCACCCATCAGCTTGTCTGACACACAGCATTGTAGAAGGAAGCACTGCCCCATGGGGGCATTTGACCCTAAAAGATTGTCCATCCCCCTGCTAATCCTCTGTAACCTAGTCAGTAAATGTTGAAACGCATGCTGCTGCCTAGCTAAAGGCTTTCTATTCTCTTTCAGCTTCAAAGTCTTTGCAATGGGATCTTCTGACTGGGTGATCCCTCACCCTTTCTTTCTGTATCTGTGTGTATCAGAGGAGTGGGGGGATGGTGTGTAGCCCCAACATGTTCTGCCTCAGAGAATGTCAGTCCTACTTTCCACTGAGGATTCTTCTTAGATGCAGGGTGGTTTACCTTTGCAGTATCTTAGAGAGGCTCTTCATAATCCGTGCATGTCTGAAAGTCCTCTTTACAAAAAGCTTTCACACATCCCCCTCAACACATCTCCCCAGCACCTGTGCATTGTAGATGCACAAGAGCATCTCAATGGGCAGTGTTTTTCAATGGTGAGGTTTTTTTAATATCCAAATAGCATTTCATAAGATGAGAATTTTTAGTCCCTTTAACCTAGTTGAAAGGCTTATTTGGGAATAAGGGTCTCATTTAATCTTCTCAGCTTGAAGTATTACAGTTACTGTTTACAGCAAAAGTAATTTGCAAATTCTATACAAAATGCTGAGTAAAAGTAGGATTATTGAGATGTGTTAAACCACACTAATCTTCTTATTATGGGATGGCATAGATGAAGACATACATGTTTTTTTTTTTTTAAATTTAAAAAGATACTGCGTTTCTGTAATAGTCAGAGGTTTCTTATAGATGATATAGGGAATGTTACCTGAGAAGGAAGGTGTTAAAACTTACGGATTTGTTTCCTCTGCTTCCAATTTATTATTCACCCTTCTATGTCAGGGCATCATTTGCTCTTTGGAGATTTACAGATAGTTTTGCTCATCTAACTCAAAGGGATGTTATCAAGTTTGGATGGTTTCCATAAAACAGACTGGAAAAAAGCCCAAGATGTCAGTTCTCCAGGCAGTTTCCAAGGGCATCACTGCTCCCTCCTCCCATGCTCTATGATGCAAAGAGGAGTGTGTTACTCTAGGGCTGCCCGGGAGAGGAGTCTGTATAATGCTAAAGTGTCAAAGTCTATGAGTACCATGTTACTCAAAATCAATTCACGTATTTTATTCATCAACACCTAAGAATTGAGCAACTCCCAGATTCCATGATCTCAACATTTCATGCATCACCACCCATGGGCCAGTGGGTCAACTAAGGAACGTGTTCCAAAGCAACTTGTCAGAGGTTAGCAGGTGCTGTAGTTTGTGGCAAAAATAACTCAGCAAGATTACAGGACTCTTGATCCAGTGCTCCATCCATGAAGACTGGCTTCCATTTCCCCTCTCAAATCTACCAATATGGTCTTTAAGACACACGCCATTTTGACCTACTCTGACCCTGTCAAAACACTAAGCCTGCTGCAGGTCACTGGGGCAAAAAGACCATCATTCCTGGCACTTCTTCTGACTTCTTTACTTGGAAACTTCTAAGGGCTCAGAAACAAACCAAGAAGGGGAGAAATTAAATAAATCTGCAAAAGAATCCAAATAGTACAAAGTTAGCCAATTAGCCCAAATCAGCAATCAGGACAAGATGTAACCTAATTAAATTCAACAGTCTACAAAAGGATGCGTTCAAACAATTTCCCTTCATTATGAATTCTCTAACATAGACACTTTCAATTTAGCAGAGGATACCACAGAGGAGCACTTCTTTTCTGGGATCTTCAAAGTTATCCAGAGCTTCTTAAATGCCTATTTTTAAAGATGCTCAGGGAAATGAGTGACAGACTGATTCCAAGACAAAGTGTCAGTCCAGAGCCTGTTCTGGAACATATCTGCAGTGTCACAAGGCTGCCCAAAATCAATGTTAAATTTTTGTTTGTTTGTCTCTTTTTAACGCCAAGCCGGATTGTTCGAGGCCAAACTCCCGAGAGTCTCTCACAGCACAACGCCACCTTCTGTAGGGACCACTACGCCAAATGGCAGGCAGCTGCCCAGTGCCCCGTGCCTCAATTTTCTGGCAAGGAACTTTCGGTAAGAATGAGCCCAGGAGCTTTCAAAAATAACTGTCCCTGAAGTTAAAATAGCTAGAGCTTTTATATGCTTGATAAAGAGGACAGCCCATGTCACCACCAGACAGAGCCAACTCTTTATTAAGTGTGCCGATGGAGAGATGGAGTTACGGATCATTAGAAAAGACATCGGCTGCCAAAAACACTCTGTTCCGTTTTGAAATGTTTCTTATACTCACACTTAAATGTGGACATCCAACATTGTGGGACTCCACAACACAGCAACACAGTCATGTCTTTAGAGGAGGTGCTGGGCTCACCACCCTCTGCTCTCAGCCTCCTCAACTCCCTGACCCCCTGCTTACCTGCCTGTTCCATCCTGAGAATTCACACCATCGCTTCTCACACTAAAGCTAAACAACTGTCTTAGTTGTCCAGTGCTGCTACAACAGAAATACCACAAGTGTGTGGCTTTCACAGACAGAAATTTATCTTCTCACACTTTAGAAGTCCGAATTCAGGGTGCCAGCTCTAGGGGAAGGCTTTCTCTTTCTCTTTCAGCTCTGGGGGAAGATCCTGGTCTCTTTTCAGCTTCTTTTTCTCAGCCATCTTCATGAGGCGTGGCATCTGTCTTCCCTCATTTCTGCCTGCTTGATTGCTCAATCTGCTCTTTTTACATCTCAAGAGATTGATTTAAGACACACCCTACACTAATGTGCCTCATTTAAATAACAGAGAAAACCCATTCCCAAATGGGATTATAACAGGTAGAGGGGATAGGGTTTACAATACATATTTCTGGGAACAAAATTCAATCCATAATAACAACCCAATGAGAAAATGGCCTCTTTATAAAGTATATATCCTTTTTTTCTACAACTTTTGTGACTGAAAATACCAAGTGGGGCCTATTTTTAAGTCAAAATTTGGGTGTGAAATACATTTACTTCCTGTTCTAATTAAGCTCCAATAACCTCAATAATGACAATGTTAGCAAACAAGAGACTTAATTCATTAGAGTAGATGAGAATGTCCACCAGATCTTGAAAGTACCATTTCCTGAGTATGCTGTAATCATTACAGTTGGTTGCATAGGTACATGGAAATCATAATCCTATTTGGTCAGCCCAGGGATCCTGGAACAGTGCAAACCATGGGGCAGCTGCGTGAGGCATGAAGGAAGGAAAATAAAGGCTGCAGATTAGAGGATCCCTGGTGGTGCAGTGGTTATGAGCTCAGTTGCTAACCAGAAGGTCAGCAGTTCGAATCCACCAGCTGCTCCTTGGAGACCCTATGGGGCAGTTCTGCTCTGTTCTATAGGGTCACAATGAGTCAGAATTGACTTGACTAGAAGGAAATAAGGACCAAAAATGTGTATCATAAAAAATGGGGCATTCGTATAGAATAGCATATAAATGGTGGGGGTATAGGAAATTAAGTGATCAACATATGAAGAATATAGGTGATTGGCTTTTTTTAAACTCCCAAATATATTAAATTAACTGCTGGATTTTAAGGGTGAAAACTGCAACGAGGCATGTTTAAAACAGAGAGAAATGGAATAGATGTGCCCATTAGACTGTGGTTCTTTTAATGGCCAGCATAGATTGTCTCTATCTTAAATTCCACTATCGGTAGTCCCTACCCAGCCTGCATATTAATGAGGACCATGAATGCCTCTCTAAAATTTTCAGCTACAGTGTCTCCATAAAAAAATCAATACTCTCTCACACCTCATGAATACAGACCAGAGTCTGCTCCCAGCAGCGGATGCTGACATTCATTATCATTAAAAGGGGGGAACCTACCTACCTCTCCATTAACTAGCCCCTGCTACACCTCCTTGCACACCCAAACTCACGTTGTCACTCTTTCCCATTATTCTTAACGGGCCCTGATTGGAAGCTTGTGTGGGCTGTGCGGTTAGCACTTGGCTGAGCAGTACAATATTCTATTTGATGTCACATAGACACTGACTCAGAAAGGCACCCAAGGACACGGAAGGGTCTCTCACCTCGCTGCACTACATCTCTCCAGCTTTGCATGACTCTATCTCTCCCTTTGTGCCTGTCTTAACGGTGTGCATTTTCTTGGTGCCTTTATCCATTCACCTTCAGTGGTACGCTACTCCCGATGCTATGACAGCGGATGCTTTGTACGTCACCTCATAGAAACTGAACTGATCAAAGGAGCCAATCACACCTTGCACCCTCCCGGTGCCCCTGCTGTCTTTCGCTCCCTCCTTACTCCAAACTCAAAGCCACATGCAAGACTCCAGCTTCCAAAAGAAGCTCATGCAATCCATTCTCAAACTTTGCCTGGTCCTTCTTAGCCAAAGTAGTACCTTATTTAATTTTGTATTCATTAACTACAATATCAACAAATAATAAGGCTAATTTTTTTAATTACTGGGGTTGATGTTAGTGGTGCCGAGGAAAGCTTGAACTGATGTAGAGATGATAGCGTAAACTTTCACCAAGTGGCAATTATGTGCTTGGCTTTGCACTAGACCCAGGATTCAGAAATGTGGACCCTGTCCCGGGAGATTTGTTGCCTAGAAAAAGAGGCCATTCATAAACGTGCATATAAAATAAAATCAAAGCCTGCACGTTCTTATTTTCTGGTTGGAATGAAAAACCAGGAGCGAAAGTAGAGGAAACAAGTTTCATTACCACTGCTTTTAAATCAACATGGTTTTTTTTTTTCTATCATAAAATATTCACTGTACTGTAAATGGTTTTTTCTAGTATTTTTGGAAAAGAAAAAATAATGGTTAAGAATCCACGCAGAGGATTTTTGCATTAAAGGACCTTAGATACTAAATGGTTCTGCCCCTTTATTTAGTAGATGGGGAAGTTGAGGCCAAGGTGTTTTCAGATTCTTTCCCACGGTCACAACGGGCATCCCGGGCAAAGACACATGGAGGAAGCAGAGCTCCTAACTCTGAGGCCAAGAACTTTCTCCCTTACACTCTACAACATCCTCTCTGAATCTCTAGCTTTTTCCCCACTCCTGTTTTGTCTGCTGCTAACTACAAATACATATCCCCAGCATTCTATTTTTCTTTATGAATAAAGTCAAAGCATTTAGGAGCTTCTTATTGTTGTTAGGTGCTGTCGAGTCAGTTCTGACTCACAGTAGCCCTATATACAACGGAACAAAACACTGCCCAGTCCTGCACCATCCTCACAATTGTGTTATGTGTGAGCCCACTGTTGCAGACGCTGTGTCGATCCATCTTGTTGAGTCTTCCGCTTTTACACCAACCCTCTACTTTACCAAGCATGATGTCCTTTTCCAGGGATTGGTCCCTCCTAGTAACCTGTCCAAAGTACGTGAGATGAAGTCTCGCCATCCTCCCTTCTAAGGAGTATTCTGGCTGTACTTCTTCCAAGACAGGAGCTTGTAGGAAACCTAAGTAATAATGTTCTCCAACTCTCTCATTTTACAAAACAGAAAATTTGAACATAAAAGGCCATGAAATTTACCTATAAGCACAGAGTGAAGGATGGTAGCCTCAAGACTAGAACAGCATCTTCTAAGATCCCGTCCAGGTTCCACCTGGCCATGTGCCCTGTTGCCAAGGGGTGTGACCCCTTCTTATCTTTTCACTCTTGTCTATCCTGTTCACCACCCTTGGGGTAATCTTTTAATATTCACCTCTTGACATATGTCTCCCTCACTCCTTAACTTCCAGGGGCTCCAAGAGTATCACAATGTAGCTAAGCTGGAGCTGTTTATAAACAAGAGTTCAGATAGAGCCCAGAATTAACACCTTATATTTTCCCTCCTGAGTAACCAAGTAAAGAACAATAATCTGTTCCATTTAATCAACGTGGGAAAATCAGAGACCATGACTGATTTGACACCACCAAAATGAAGTGTGTGATGCCCAAAAACATTCTAAAGTGGGC